TCGTTTTCCATTTTTCGCTGTTTTCCTTGTTTCCTAGTTTTTTCCTATTATTCCTTCTTTTCGTTTTATTGAAATTTATTCCCCTTTTTTTTTGTTGTTTTTTCTCTTTTTCGAAAGGGCGACGGCCTTCATATATCATCATTGAACTGACCGAGCACGCAACGTGTCGGTAAATGACTTCAGCAGGGATTGAGTCTATATACGTATATATATATCCAGTCATCAAGGGACACATATTTACACATGTGTAAACAAATGTATACTCCGACGAAACCGTTTGTCTCAGCCCCTCGTTTGTTGTCCTCTTCTCCCTTCTCCTTCTCTGCCCACGGTTTACCATGCAGCTCTTCTGTTTGACGAAAGAGCTGCATGGTAAACCGTGGGCAGAGAGGGAGAAGGGAGAAGAGGACAAAAAACGAGGGGCTGAGACAAACGGTTTCGTCGGAGTTTCACCGGCTTATCAGGAGGCTGAACCCTATATATATATATCGTCAAAGTATATACATGTATACTTCGCGCTCTGATTCACAGTGTGACACGATATATATATGTATTGTCACATGAATATCAGAGCGCAAAAGCGAAAAAAAACAAAAGGAAACAAAAAAAGATATCAATTCATTTTTAATCTTCTTCCTTACAACTCCCCCTGTTCAGAACCTCTTTTGCGTACAAGGCCGCCCACGTGGATGTAGGTTGAGCGGCGGCTGCCCCCACCCCCGTGTGTCATATCGACCCACTTGCACAGACATATATACTCGGATGAAACAGTTTGTAAGGGCCCTCGGTTGTTCCCGCCTTTCTCCCTCTCTGCTTGTAGTTCAGGGGGCAGTTCTTGATGACGGAAGGGGCGGTGCTAGTCGCATGTGGGACTTGTCATCTAGGATTTGTGTATGTGTGTTGCCCCCTGTTTTGTTATATTTGGCTGTTCCCTTCCTCTTTCCTTAGCCTCTTTGCCGTTTGGCTTTGTGCAAGTGGGGGTCGATATGACACACGGGGGTGGGGGCAGCCGCCGCTCAACCTACATCCACGTGGGCGGCCTTGTACGCAAAGATGTTCTTTCTGAACAGGGGGAGTTGAGTTGTAAGGAAGAAGATTAAAAAACGAATTCGTTTTTTTTTATTTTTTTTTACGCTTTTGCGCTCTGATATTCTTGTGACAATGCATACATATGTATATGTTATTCTTGTGACAATACAGACATATGTATATGTTTATATATTGTATATTATGTATATCTATTTTATTTGACTTTGTGTTATTATGTAATCGATGGATTACCGAAAATACAGTAATTCGAATTCTCAAATTACGAAAACAATTTAAAACAAAAAAATTGACTAGTGATTTAGCTAAATACGATACGGACCCTGTTTTTGACGAAGTGGTTATTGAAGTAATAAAGACTGTTTAAACACAATATATAGGGTTCAGCCTCGTGATGAGTCTGTCGGTCAAACTCCGTCGAAACAGTTTGTCACAGTAGCCCCTCCCTCTTGTTTACATGTCCGCTTCTCCCTTTCTCCCTTTCTCCCTCCCTTTTTCCCTTCTCCCTCTCTGCCCCTACGGTTTACCGGGCGGTTCTCCAGCGCCTCAGAGTACATTCTGCGAAACTTCTTTTGTCTTCTCCTCTGCGCCTTCTTTGAATCTTCCGCCCTTTCAATCGCCAACGACCAACACGGATGCCTTTATTGCTCTATGTTTTCGCTGCGCTCTCTTTCCCATGCACAGAAGATTCTCTCTCTCTCTCTCTCTCTCTCTCTCTCCGTCTGTGTGTGTGTGTGTGTGGTGTGCAGGCGGTCGGTGAAGTAGTCGTTACTCTGTCTCTCTCTCTCTCTCTCTCTGTGTCCCTCTCTCTCCCTCTCTCTCTCTCTCTCATCCTGTCACGCGTCTCTCTCTCTCTCTCCCCCTCTCTCTCTCTGTGTCTCTCTCTCGATGGTGCAGACAGTTGGTGAAGAAGATGGTAGTTCTCGTCTTGTCCTCTCCGGGCCTTCAATTCCTTCCTGTCAATGACCAGATACATAGAATGCCGGTAAGACAGACCTTGGCGCGGACCTTCTTGTCTTCTTCTTCTTGATGGCTTTTTTTTCCGATGCCAAGGTCTGATCCCCCGTCTTCTTCTTGGCCCTCTGCTTCTTCCCGAAGCAAATAATGGCCAGATACATAGAATGCGGGATGACAAACCTTTGCATAGACAGTGATGCTCACGCCCATTATTTGCTTTTCCATGGGGAAATCAATCCAAAAAAAAATAAAAAAATTCAGGGTGGGAGTAACATTACCGTCGTTATCATCATGTTGGGATCGTCAAGGCTTGAAGGTGAGGAAAAGCAATAGAAGGGGTTCTGATTCCCCCCCCGTGAGGGATAGTAAGGCACTTCCTCTTCTATTTTCTTTCTTGTTTCTCTTTTTTTTTTTTATATATTATAAGGTACTTGCTCTTTTGTGTTGTAAGCTTGTGGGAGATCGACCATCCCTTATGGTGGTGGGATCATTACCCCTTTATGGTGGGACCAAAAACCCCTTTATGGCGGAATCAGTAACCCCTTTATGGTGGTGGGATCAATAACCCCTTTATGGTGGGACCAAAACCCCCTTTATGGCGGAATCAATAACCCCTTTATGGTGGGATCAATAACCCCTTTATGGCGGGACCAAAACCCCCTTTATGGCGGAATCAATAACCCCAACCCCTTTATGGTGGCATCAACTACTGCACTTTCACTGTCTAGGGTGCAGAATTCGACTGCTATATATGGTTCACGTGCTCGCCCTTGACGATATTTAAGTCTGGAGTGTATTTTTTGGCTGTGACAGACCTTTACAGTGGAGGAGGCGTTAAGAAGACTGAGAAACTGAATGATTTCAATGTGTCTTTGTTTTTTATTTTTATCCTTCGATTCAGTGTAAATACTTTTTGTAAAACACTGAAAGAAATAATAATACTGTGAAACAAAGTGTCATTCTGGTTTGTCTGTCTCTTTGCCTATCTGTCCTTACATTTTTCTTTTCTTTGCTCATCTTATTTCTTCTTCTACTTCACGTGCTCATGCTCTTAGTCAATAGTTCTGTGACAATATATATATATATATATTTAATGTTAAAGTTAGTAAAGAATAATTCTTATCGGAAATAACAACTTCATGATTTGTTTTTTTCTATAAATCCTTCATCGAGAAGAATTTTCCCAATACAATAATCCCTTTATGATGGGATCCATAACCCCTTTATGGTGGGATCAACCCCTGTATACCTCTAAAGATGGCTCGATGGGGTTTGGGCATGCTTTGGGAAAATGGGGGAAGGAAACCCATTTATTTATTTGCATAACTTGGTGGTGGGACCAAGTGTGATGGATTTTGTGACGTGTTTGTTTGTTTGGTTTGTTATTTCTTTTTGCAGAAATTGCAGCTAACGTTACTGGTCCAGCTGGGATTCGGTCGATGTCCACGAACTTGGTCAATACACCAAAGGGAGGTGGAGGCCGCTCCTCCGTCAGGTACGTTTCCTGCCAGCCATCATCATGTTTTTGCAACTTTTGTGCATTTCTGCATGGTCAATACCACAAGATTGAGCTTTAAAAAAGAAAGCGAGAGGCCAAGTGTTTCTTTTCCCCCTCTTGGGATGTGTGTGTGTGTGTGTGTGTGTGTGTGTGTGTGTGTGTGTGTGTGTGTGTGTGTGTGTCACGACTCTCTCTGGCCAGCCGAAAGAAACCAGCGGCATAAGCGTCTGGATAATCCGGAATGCGGCGTGTGTGTGTGTGTGGATGAGATAGATAGATAGAGATAGATAGATAGATAGATAGA